CAAAATACTATAAATGATATATGCCTTTTGATAGATTGATTAATTTGTAGAATGTAGAACGGTATGATACAAAAACCTGTACTGATTATGTTTAATATATGTGTGAGATTCACACTTTTGCAAAGCGATTGAGTGAAATATGTAATTTTGATGAAATTATGGACTGATTTTATTGCATGAAAGTGGGTTTAAAGGGTTAGGGCTAACATATTTAAAAAAATGTAGAAATATATTACTTCTTCATAAGAGTAACATTAAGGTTTGTATCATCTGTTGTTGGTATCTGTGGTCAAAATAAAACATTATAAATAGTAATGGCATTATTATTATTAAGATAACTTGATGTTTGTATTATAAAAATTCCAGTTTAAATTTTCCCAAAATGTTTTAGCAAAATTTTCTGCTGTCACTAGAAAAGTTTAGATTTCTTGATATAAGATAAGAACAAATGCGTTTTTTTTTCAATTCAGAAGTAATAAAACTTGTGTTTTTTTTTGGTTACAGTTCATTTTTTGTCTTGAAAGAATTTAATGTTTTTTTAGCAACTTCAGATGTCTCTAAAGAAGAAATATGCTATTTTAATGTAAAAAAACAATTTTATATAATACAATGTATAAAAGTTTCCATGTAACAAAATGAATGGTAATGTTACACAAAATATGTGTTTATTAACACTAGATGTTAAATAGTCCAAATCAATAGGTACACTTGTTTCTCACAATGTAAGAACTAAATTCATTGTTGCAACTTTGTGCTATGACAAAAACATGGGAAGGAAGGTGTCACAGTAAGAATTTGAATCTTATTATTTCTTTCAGTTATTTTAAACATCCAATTTCAGAGTTTTTAGTTCAACAACCTTCTAGCAATGTCACGTTTTTGTGAAGAACATTTTTTGTAATTTACTACACATGTTTGTTTATAGCATCTTGTATGGTGTGTGTGTATGTGTGCTTATAGCTAGAGTTAATGAAAAAAATTAAAAGAACCTTTAACTAAGGCTTCTGAAGCTTTAAAGTTATAACAAACATCTGCCATGCATTAAAACATTAGATTTATCAGGTCATCAGTATTAATATTGAAATAAGCACCTAAATAGGGTTTTAAGTGTAAATAATGCTGTGGTAATTTTACATGCTACACATGCATATCTTCAGAATAAAGTTATTATTCCTTTGGATTCAGATTATTGATCACTTTAGATTTATATAAAGATTCAAGTATCATTTATTTTGTTTTATTATTTTCTTACAGAGTATTTGTCCATGTTATTTAAAAGTGCTGGCTATGAGGTGGTGGCCAACAAATATGTAACCAGAGAGACGGTCAACAAGAAGGAAGGTGTTTGTGTGCCTCGAATTTTCATCCAAGGAAAATTTTGCAAATTGTTATCCCAGTAGTTTTAGAATGCATGATTGAATTTTAACAGACAATGACAAAGAATGTATATGAAATCAATTTTTATATATTAATAAAATTGCCCATGATTATTCAGTGTTCGTGTTTTATATTCATGCAATACAGAAATTTGTTATTTTTAGAAGCCACATAGTACTAATACTTTAATTATGTACTACAGTGGTATTGCTGTGGTTACTATTCTGTATTAGCTGT